GCCTGGTCTGGATTTGAATTACACAACGAGATTTCCACAAGAAATTTAATTAGCATTCTACATCCAAACGATGGAGAAACTCCTCCTCCTGCATGACTCGGCGTTGTGAGTGGATGGATGGCTTAATTGGGAAATTAAACATTCATTCTGATTCATTATCCACACGTTTCATAATTAATTAACCTCTCTTGGTAGGGAAATTAACTTTAATTGAAACTGACAGAAATGCAAATGGCAGTAATGGTTGTAATGAGATGAAGCTGCACAAGAGATTTTGGTTCGATCCAAAATTAAATGCCCCTAAAATATATGATAATATATTTTGTGTACAGTGCGTTTCATGATGAAATGATGTTGAAAGAGTACGAAACAATAACAGTAACATCGTTTATCGTTTGCCCACTTTCCACTGTCTGATTGTTAAGTTCTGACAGGCACTGTGTCTCTTTCCGTTCCTCTTATTGCACACGTATCCTTAGCCATAAATTATACCACATAAACCGGGTGTTCCGTTAGTCTTCCGATTCTCCTTCTTCTGTGCTGACCGCAAAAAGAATCATCGCATTTCATCACCCACCCGCACGAGAGCCCCTCCACCCTCCACCCGGCAAGCGCTTTCATCGCATATCGCGGAAGAGATCTGAGACTGAGACTTCGTATTGAGACTGGACTGGCCTGGAATTAATGCCTCAGAGATTATGCCCATGACAACAGCAACAACAACAGAAAGAACCGTGTATATCATTTACCGTTTAAAAAGGAGGAGATATTTATGCACTTGAATGCCACAACAAAAGTTGTTGCCTCAACCGCAAAATAATGAGTTTCAACAGCACTAAAAAAAATCAGACCCAGACCCAAAGAAGGAAGAGAACTTTGGCAAAAAAAAAAACAACACCAAAACCAAAGACACAGACAAGCTTTGGGCCAAGAGAGAACTTCATCATCTTGTCGGATACGAAGCGTCGGTCAGGCGGGAGACGCGTTCTTCGAGGAACGTTTTAGGTCAAACCGCACCCGCCTGTGCCCTGGTCTGGTCTGTGCCTGTGCCTGGGCTCAGTGACTCCTTGGACTGACCAAGCCACTTGAGTGTCTGTCGCCAGTCGTCTGCATCCTGTGTTGTGGCGAATATTAAGTTTCTGGACAGAACAGCTGTGCGCCTGCGTTTGCGTCTGGGTTGAACGAAACCCGTTTAGATCTCAACTTGTACCTACGGCAGCTGTAAACAATCAGAGCCAACTGCCTGCCAGGCACTCAGCCATGAAAAATGAATAATGATGATGATGTTTCAGGCTATGAAGGGGCGGATAGTGGAGAGTGCTCCCTCCGCAGAGACACTCATTGGTACAAAAAAAAGAGCGCCTTCCTTCTGTCTACTGTGTTGGGGCTTCTGGCTCCTGGATGATTTCGAAGAAGACTTTGAGCTGGAAACTTGATTTTGTATCTACCCCAAAAGTGCGAGTATCTCTCTCTGCTGCCTGCCCTTTGAGACTTGTTTGGTTTTTGGCCTGAGAGGTTGATATTTGTTTGTCGTAGAGGAGGAAACCGGTTGCCACTCGCTCTCTTTGTGGTCTCTCGCATATTTAGTTGCACTTCTTGTTTTAGAACTTACTTTACTTGCAGTTTGTGGCATTGTGAGGGTTAGTTATCTCTCGGAACAGTATGGAGCAGAATCAGTTATAAATTAAACTTGTTTGGACCTGTTTTGATTGTGGGATGCTTAACCCTAACCCCTGGCGATCAAGAGTTTATTGACTTTGTCTTCAAGAGTATCTCATGGATGCATTGTCCATGATCTCTCTCTCTCTCCCTCTCGCTCTCTTGCGTTGTCTGAGATTATTCCTCATTCTGCAGGTTGCCATAAAAAGACTTGCAAGTTGGACCTGGCACTGTCGGTGGCAAACTGGTTAAAAAAAACTCTCAAATCAAAAGATTTGACTGTCTGCTGCATTTGGTGCACATTTCTGCCGGTTTCTCTTTATGGCCAAGACAAGTTCTTGACACTCACTCGCAGTGGAGAGACGCCCACGGTCAGATACAAAAGTATCTGCAAGTAGAATGCCAGGCTGTGTGCGAATCTCTATGGCTGCTTGGGCCAGTATATTAATATTCGGTTGCAGTCGAGTGATTCGACAAGCGCAGGCAGCACTCAACGGAGCGTGCCACACCAGCCGCCACATGCAACACATGCCGCCTCCTCCTGCTTCGCTCCCCCTGCCGTTTGCTGGTCGAAGCGTAGGTCCATTATTCGATTGCCCACATAATAAATGATGTAAAAAGTGGGCCCCTCGCCACCGCCGCTGGCCATCGAAAGGCGTCCAAGTGGGTGGCGAGTGGGCGCAGAGTGGAGTGGCTGCCTGGAGTGGAGGAGAAATTCAAACTATAAAATAATTACACAAAATATTACACTTTTATTTGCTGATAATGTGTTTCGAAACTCTTTTTGGCAATGTTTTTTTTTTTCGTTGCTGGTAATGAGGAATCAAATACTCGACTAATGAGCGTCCAAACGCTCCTTATGTTATATATATTTTTATATGGGCATTTTTCAGCCACAATTATGCAAGAGAGGGATTGCAAAACGCCAAAGAAACTTCCTCCTATGAGAAAAGAGATTTGTGTTCAGTGAATAATGGACATCTTTTTAGATTTAGCTGAAAATAAAATGACAATTAAAATAATATTGAAGTGTATTGGAGACCAAAAATGCTTAAACATATGGCCAATATATTAGTACTTCTGATCATCCATAAAGGTAAACCGCCACTTCTCTCAAATGCGCAAAGGAAAAAGCTAAGTAGCTCCTACAAGTAACCACAAAAGCGAGATAGTCTTAGATAGCCATAAACATAACCGTTTAGATGCTGTCCCAGATGCCTCATAATGATCGTGTTGCTAAGATTTGGGGGATTGGCTGTGAGCATGAGCCACAGATGAAGACTGAGATCAGCGCCTGCCGTGCCTTGACTACTGTGCGCTGCGCAGGTAAATCAAAGGTGTGCTCCGATCTCCACTCTCCGTTTTGGGGATTAGTTTGGGGCTGGGGCTGGGATAGTTTGGGGTAACTGTTTTCGAGTATTTACGTTAATTTACGCCAACAAACTGTTGAACACTCGCAGATTTCGCTGTGGGGCCGGACCGTTGCCTGCTTTCGGTTTCATTATGAGTCGAAAATCATACAACGGCCGCCGCCTGGCTTATGCCTCGGCTTGCAACTGACAGTTGCAAACTTGGATACGCGGATTGCCGGGTTGCAACACCCATTTTGTATCTTTTGCTGGACCGTTGGCTCGTTACTCGTGCGGCTAATCATATTTCTTTGCCGTCTGTCTGTCTCTCAGTTAAATTAGCAGCTGCACATGGCAATCTTTTTGCTATGGCTTTTGCTCTCAGGACGAATGAGAAATTCGCCAAGTTTTGGTTTGGTGCCACCGCGCCTGTGGGGCTGCAGATAAGTCGAATAGCCGCCGCCTCTTCTTGGGGCATTGTGGGGGTCGCTCCTAATTGGATTTTCCGACTAGCGCACATTGTTTTTTCCACACGCTCTGATTCGGGCATTGTCCAGAGTGTCAATTGGATTTGGGAACTGTTTCGTAACAGATACTTATGGGAAAAGGTGGACAGAGCGATTGTGTCGTCAATTAATTGTAATCCCAAATAATAATATTAATATAATGATCCATGCTCCCATAAAAATTGTCTTTGGTTACGACTTCGATGATTTATTTTTATTTTGATGCTCCACAACTGAATCTGTTTTCGTGGCCCACGTGGAATCAATAAAAGCTACAAAACTACCCATAACAGCTGCTGAAATGTTCAACCAGCAGAGCAGCATTATTATTTGATTTTTTGTATATATTTCTCGGACGCTTTCACTTGCCAACTTTTTGTGATTTTCTCTTGCCTGATGTGATGTCTGTTACACAGCGTTTTTATTTCATTTGGCTAGAGGAAATAGAAAAGTTGTAATTGTTTTATGCAGTTTAAAAGTAAAATTAAATTGAGGATTTAATACTTGGAAGGAGATCATAAATTAGCCCCGTTTTCGGGGGATTGTTCGCGGAAACGCTGATGCCCAGGAAGCTCGATACTCAATGGAAAATTGCTCAACCATGCAAATTATTAAACAAAACAAAGCAATCGCGATTCACAGCTAACAAAACACGATTCCAAGATCTGCGAACATTTGCAAAACTCCAACAAATTTTTGTCGGGACTTTCGATTTCTGCGACGCAGAAGGAGCGGCCACATCTGAAGTTAAGCTGTTGATATATCGCCTTGTCATTAACTCATTTTTCCGCTGAATTTACAAATCCATTACGGAGTTCAAATGTTTAAATATTTATGTGAGAAGAAGTGTTTATTCGGCGGATAAATTATAATTATCTTTAAGATAAATATCTGCTAATATCTGCCCAATCAATGTGATTTATTATAGTTCAAATATAGCACAAATCAGTCACAATGCATCCGAAAATAAAGCACTTTACTGGATTCACCTTACTGGATTCCCACCATTTTATCATCAGTCACTGACTCACAGACGCCCCCAAATTGCTGATTAGGAATGTTGGGTATTCCATGGGTTTGATTTCAGCTATCGGCGCTTATCAGTGGAATATTATTGTTGCAGACACGCATGGCGATAAGCAGATGGATCCAGAGTCCGAGTATGTAGAAATTCGAGCGATACTTACGTTCTGAATGTTAGGATTCCTTCAGCTGTTGTTTACTTTCGGCTAGATGAGGGATTGTGTAAATTATAGATAAGACGGAGAGGATTGTGGTGTGTAATGTGAAAAATGGGTCGTCTTGTGGGTGTTTTGTAATGTGGGTCAAATATTGAGGCTACCATTACGAGAGGAATTAATAGAGATTTCGATTTGATTGATTTTGTAATATCAAGTAACTAATTTTTACTATCGATAAATGGAGGGAGGTCTCAAATATTGACAGCTGTAATTATATTTATTTTTACCAATTTATTTCATTGCAGAGATCTGTACGTTTGTCAGCAAAACAAATCGAAGAAACTAGAGCTCTTAAACATCAAGTATTTCTAGGTAAGTTTCTGCCTCTACCCAATGATTAAGCAAAGAATTTCAGTTTGTTGAACATTCCATTGGAATTTGTAAATGTTTCTGTTGCGCTTCCACATTCTTCATGCAAATTCCTGAGCAAACCATTGAGATGCACTCCATAATGAAATGCAAACAGCTGTGGAATTGAATAACAAGTGATTCAACTCATTCATTCAAATGTTTATGAATAATCCATGGGAATATTAAATTAGAGACGCATTTCGACTGGGTCGCATTCCTCTGTTCTCGATTGATAACATCCTCGGAGTAGCTCGAATCATAGCTTTGTAAATTATTTTTTACTGCGTATATTTCTGGATATCACACAACGCTGTGCTTTAGTGGGAGTCGCTTTGATAAGGGCCTCGTGCAGTTCATTGATGCGGAAATCTATTTGTTGGACGTGCTTACTACAAGTTTTATAAATAATTTCAAGATAGAGCAAAAATGAGTTTGGAGGAATTATAATGAGTGTTTATTCCTACAAATTGTAAAAATAACGCAAAAGATATAAATTGTAGAAACCGTACAAGATTTAAAGAGAGACTCTAAATTATCTCTAAATTATTACCTTTGCCACCTTTTTACAATTTCCCGCTTGTGTCACTCGATCCCCGTGACGCGATAAGATACTTTTGTGGCAGAAAACAAAGCTAAAAAACCACACGATGAGTGGACGGACGGACGGGCAGGCAACCTTGCTGCTGCTCCGCCACTTGCACACACATCGTGAATCGCGAATCGCAATTCGAAATCGATTTCCAATTACAAAATATTACAGAACTGCAAATGGGGGGAGGGAAGGGGAGGTGTCTCCAGCTGGGGACGTCGTCATGATGCGTGAAAGTCGACCTCAGCCTCAGCCTTGGGATGTGGGTAAGGAAGGAAGTGAAATAAATCACAAGCGAGCAAACAAAGTGAAATGTAAACATTATAAAGTACATTTGCACATCCTATATGCGATATACGATATAAAATCAAGCCCAAAACAGCGCATTCAATGAGCCACTTTTAATGCCTGACGCGGCGAAGACTGCCCAAAAAAGCCGTCAGTTTCGACTTATCTAAGATGTTGCGCTCCGTTTTTGTGTGTTACTGAGATACCCGTACATGCATGTGGCTGTATTTTTGTTTTTTTTTTTTGGTATGTCTTTGGTCTGCCATGTCAAGTTTGTTGAGCTTTTGTTCTGGCAAGGTTATTGCACACGAGAAGTGCCCGTAAAACACACACATAAAACAAACCGCAAAAGAATAATAATTTTAAGGTAGATAAAACAACATGCGATGATTAAATATTTGATATGTCAGCTGGTCGGCAATCTACAAAAGGCAATCTACAGGACCACAGTGTGAGGTTTGCAAAAGGCAGGAACATGGCTGGCAAAAAGGCGTAGATTTCTCTCAGTTCTGAGAGTGGACCACACCCAGCCCCCCTTCATTAAGCAGAGTGTTAAGTGAAGTGAAACTTCCGCAAAAGTCAGCTTTAAGATATATTACAAGTATGGCACTGATAAATCGTAGTTGCAGCCATACTTAAGGCCATACTTTGCATATTAAACGAGCGCCAAGACAACAATTCCCCCAGTCGCCAAGTCTTCCAGTCCCCCAGTTACCAACTCAAGGCTAGCATTTGCATTCGAACGCGTTGCATTTTCTTTTGGTCACACTCGGAAAATGCTCGACCGCAAATGGAGGGAATGGTAAGATGGATACGGCAAGAACTAAATATTCCCTTCACCCAGCATAATGGCTAATGTCCATAATGAATATGCATAATTATCTACGCTAATGCCTTGAAGCCAGTTGCGGTGTGTTGAACATCTTTCGACAGGGTTTTGTGTTGGTTATGCTCATACGAAATAATTAGAAAAGTTAACATGGTGTTTCCATATTAGCTGTGCTTCTCTTAAGCCTCTTAAGACCATTGCCATTCATATAATCTGAGCTACTTGATATCCCTGACGTAAAATCCTTTTCTAAAGCTTATACTTTAAAGCAAGGATGCAGAAACCGGGTGCTCACAATTCACTTTTGATTGCTAAACCACACTGCGAGAGAGTTAGTGAATTAAACTGACTTAAATTCATCTCTGTAAAGCTTCCCTTCCCTTGCTTGAATCCAATTTATATCCATTACAACATACATTGTCCGCTTTTGTTTGGGTTGACAGGCCCTGAACACCCTCCGCAATGTGCAGTCTAACTCTGTTGCAAGCCAAAGCATCCAAACAAAAGAATCTCAAGCCCCCTCCAAAACCAACGCATAGATACAGAAACATACGCCCTCTCCCTTCATCTCTCTCTCTCTCTCTGGCAATAGAACACACAAAATTTATTATCATGTAAAACTTTTGTGCAACAAAAACATACAAAATCGCGGCTACTGTGCAGCTGTTCAACGCTCCACTCCACAGTCGGTTTTGTTCTGCTTAATAATTTATTTGAATATTTGGCATAATTATGTCCCCTCGCCCCTTATAATATAACAACGAATATTTCACAAGCGGACAAACGCAAATTATTACTTGTGGTACTAGAATGCACTGAGAATCGGCCCAAAAACGCAAAACTGAAACTTGGGAAGTGGCTCGAAGTTTCGGACCGAGAGCTGACATTGAGAGTCGCGGATAATGGTCGCAGATAACCAGTTGCACTTAAGATACCGAGACACAGATACGTTGTGTTTGTGTTTTGTGTATGTTATGGCTGACAAATGAAAAATGATTGCCGCTAATTGCTGGCAACTGCTCGGATAGCATGGAGAGTAGGAGAGGCACAGAAGGAAACCAAACCACTTTGTTCTACGTTTAGATATTGAGAAAAGATAAATGATATGCTCAATGTTCGAGCCAATAGACTGCTGACCAATCACTTAAACTCGATTGATTAACTCCATAGCCACACGAAAGCCCACACCGAACTAACCCCGAGAGTCGAAGATCGCGACTTCTATAATTTCGTACTTTGCGCCTCTGGCGCTCTGTGACTCTTATTGCTTGCCATCGATGCTATCCGATCCCATGCGCTGCTATCCGATCGTCGTGCGTCTCGAATCAAAACGCGCATAAATTTCTATGCTTTTGTAAAATCTTTTTCCTCTCCCTCCGGCTGCTCCGACTCTCTGAAACAGTAGCGGCATCCATTAATCAAAAGGCACTCGAGCATCTCTCTCTCTCTCGTGGGTCCCCGCTCGCATATTAGTTACACTTTAGCGGGGCGCCCAGAAATCTGATGTTGGGTTATTAGTTTGCCAGAGTTATGATGCAAAGCAGTGGGATGGATGGATGGATGGGATGGCTTACATGATGAGTGTCTGACATAAGACTCGGCTGGGGCTTTGACTGGGATTGGGTTCAAGGCAACTGCCGCGTCGATTCGGGGAGTGCTCGAGAACAGCTTAGATTTTGTGGGAAGTGCTCCACTAAGCTGAGCTAATGGATATTTCCACAGTGCTTTGGAGCATGCTGGAGAATGAGTAGTTCAAGTCGAAGACCTTGAACATTACAAAGAGGATAACCGAAGTACGCAGTTATCGCAATTTATTATTGCCCTTTGACTTTCTGCCACAACGAATCCTTTATCCAGGGCGACCGTAACAAATGGCTGAATAAATTTGTTTGCATTTTCACATAGCGCCCCAACGCCTCCAAATGGCAGATTGTAGATTGCTGAGCGGCAGAGCGGGAGAAAATATCAACAGAACAGAAAGAGAGTTTTGTTCAATGTGCCGTGCACATTGGCAAATTTATGTAAATTTTCATTTATTAAATAAACACGCAAAGTGCGTGTTGTCAGCTGTTCCACCAGGGGACAGAGGTTGTGCCCCCCTGGATACCAGCCCGGATAGGGCCAACGAACGACAACGACAACGACAACGACAACGACAACGACGAGGACAACTACGTCACAGACGACAAACGACAAAGACTGAATGTTGATTGGCAATTTGTTGTAGTAACTACCAGAGTCTACGAGTCTATGGGTGCTAATGAACTTAGGGATAGGGATGGTGATAGATACCGCAGAGGGCGTGTGGGTAGTGGGAGTGATAATGCGCAAGAAATTGTTATGGAGTCCATAAAATAGATATCTTGATGGGGATGTGGTGTGGCTTTGGGTGTGTTCTGCAAAAAAAAAATGGAATAAGTAAAAAGGTTTTGCTTGTTTTTGTACTTAAGAAAATATTCTAGCTAGGGAAATTGTACGCAGGAATCGTGAAAGTGTAGAAGCTATTCCATAGATATTTTTATATTCGTTCGCATCTTTGCATTCACTTTACACCTTCCTCTTACTTCATTTTTGCATTCTTCATTTACCAAATGTTTACACAAAGCATTTCCGCACTCACTCGCACTCATGAACTCCATTGGAGCTCTTATCGCCTCGATCTCTGCGGTCGCCTCTCATTTACTGCAGAGGAATAGGCAAACGACAAAAACAACTGCCAACAAATTAACGGAACCAAAAATCTGAGAAGGAACATCATACACTGAGAATAATTTCGCAGCACACGGAGCATAATATCCACCAACCCAGGTCGTGTTAACCTTCTCTAATGTGCACTTTTCAGTTTCAAAGTTAATTGGTAGAAGTTTTGAAGTTTGTTCTTTGGTTCTTGCTTCTGCCTCTTCGTGATTATTCCTTTGTCCTTGAGCAGAGTCGGCTCTAGTTTGCTTTGTTGTCATATCGTGTAACCACTTCAGACTCTAGTCAGTCGTCCCCCCTTTGCCCATACAGGGACTATCATTTATGAGAGGTACTGCGCCACTGGGCATGAAATTAGCTGCGTGCAGCAGACAAAAGTCTGCCCTTGTCTCCCTATCCCTCTCGCTCTACGCATATGTATGTGGTCCCCCTTTTGTGGACTAGCCCTGACTTTCGAACAGTTGCTGTGCCGGCGTCATCGCATTGGATATCATTACAGTTTGTTACTTTTGCTTTGCTTTGCTTTGCTTTGCTTTGCTTTGCTTTGTACCATTTTCTCTTATTAATTTATGCATTTTTTGTTGATTGTCTGCGTTACAGTTGACAAGTTCTTGTTCTGGTTCTGCTGTGTAATGGTAGTGGGAGTTCCGCGGCTGTTTTGCGAGTATTTATGTGGTTCAGGTAGAATAAGTATCACAATTTATTAGCTCCTACATGGCTTTGGGTTGTAATGCAATGACTTTGATTAATTTTAATAGCCTTCCTACACCCCAGAACAAGCTGTGTCTCCCTGGCTATAATTAATAATTATTATTATTTTTATACGTGTATTCGAGTACTGTCTGGCATTTATCTAACTATTGTCTCTCCTCTCCTGTCTTTGCAGAAGAACCAAGAGTTGCGCAAACATTTCTGTTTTGGAAAAGGTGAGTCGAACTGCGCTGCGTCTCATGTTACCATCGAAATAATAATTAATTGAATTTGGTTGCGGGGCGTATCGAATGCCGGATGAGTTCTTATGCAAGAGCGTGTTTCAGCAATGACCAGCAGTCACCGGGTCATTGTACGGATAGCCCAGAGATTTGACTATTAGCCCCAATCGAAGCGAACTTTATCGCGGGAATATATCACCTGAAGAAGTGCGCCACTAACCCACTTTTTGCTGCCCAAAACTCTTGATTGATAGTGGCCGACGCACCCACAGCTATCGTAAATTCTTCCAACAAAACCATCCGCCAACACTCAGCCGTTCGGCCAATGCATAATGCAACTGCAACAAAGACTTATCAATATGTGACTCCGAATGAGACTCTGTATAGTGCCGCTTTTGAGTCAACAACAGCTCGGCTCGGTGACCCACTTCCACAACAGTGGCACCGACAACGCGACGCGACTCTCTAATCAGGCATAAACTTTGCGGCTTGATAAATGCTAAATGCATGAACAAAATAAACAAATTACAAATCAGTGCACTCCCTGACAGAAGCTGTCTGCTTGGGGAGAGTGTAATAACCTCGAGACGCGTTCCCGGTTTGGCTTCCTGCATGTGATAAACAATGGATGATGCACTCCAATATGTGTCAACTGTATTGTCTTCTAACTGGAGATACTTTTACTTGCTGGCTTCTATGGCCCTTTGTCATTGCCATTGTTCCAGGTCCTTGTCCTGCGCTGCTTAAAGCCTTTTCTCGCCTAGGATTCCTGGGTTCAACCGTATTTTTAGTTTATTAGTCGCCTACTGTGAGGCCAGTTGGAAATGAACTTGGCTTAGCGAGTTTTTCCGCTTGACGCCGCCCTAAACGGAAATATGGAAAAGCCCTAGAAGTGTGGCAACGTAGGGGGTATCCACGTAGAGCTCCCCACATGGGCTCTGCCATGCCCCCCAGAACCATAACCCAAACAGGGAACAACTGACGTCTTCCCTTCGTCTCTCTTTCTACGTCTGTTCTATATCTATTTTATGTATTTCTTTTGTTATTCCACACAATTCGCGAACCTAACCTGTCAAGAATTTCAATGAGTTCGTTTCCCTTTCGGTAGTCATTCGGTGGTCGGTGGCGGTGGCAGTGTCGGTGTCTCAGCTTAGAAAATACACACAGAAGAGTGAGAATATCATGCAGACATTTAAAGCAGAACCTGTTGTGTTACTCATTCTCTTGTGATCTAAAAAAATTGTGCACAATGGGCGAAAAGTGAAAATTTAGACATAAAATATTAAAATAATATATTACAAGTAAATCAAAATAATTTCAATAATTAAACGATTTTAATCATAAGATATTTGAATTCCAAACTAAACTTTTTCGATTATTTATCGTCTTGACCTGTCCATTCGTGACAGTGAAATGCGGCGCCCCCTGTTTAAAAACTCGTTATCCAAATGAGTGGCTTGGCCACTCAGCCACTCACACAAAGAAAACTTAAGTAAAACAAAGAAGAAAAAACAAACCCCAAACCCAAAACATTTTCCCTTATAAGGCTAATTGTTATTTAGTGCCAGCAACACCAAGCACCTGCATTTTCGGACCTCTCTCATGAATAATCAAATTATGGACCACATCTACAAGTTGCTGCAAGTTGAAGTTCAGGTTTAGGTTTCGTCACACACACACATTGAGGGGCAGTTAATGAGGAAAGTTCTTGAGAGAATCGATGTTCATGTGCCCTTTTCTGAATAGTTGAAGAGGGATTGTTTCCCTGCTCTTTGGTTTGGCAAATTGGCAAAGTTTTATGAGCCAATTACATGCAAGAGTGGGCCCGAGAACATTGAGCCTCAAATATCACATCCATCACATGCGAAGTCCACATCATGTAGCGACTATTATGTGAATTCAGTGCTCCCCGACATCGACATCGACAACGACCGAGATCGAGATCCCGCATAACGCATGCATGCCAGAAGACAGTCAAGTCAACCCAAAGGCATCGCCGTCTATCATTAAACTGTCGTAAATCACAAGTAATTGACATTATACAACGGAACGGCCTTTTGAGAATCGGTCAAACGAGCAGGCAGTCAGGCAGGCAAATAAGCAACAATTATCTTCAAGACAGCAAACATTTATCTGAAAATACACGTAGCAACAATTAAGCTAAAGATATCCATGGAAACTATCTTCATGGGGGGGTTATGCGTGTAGTCGCGGAAGCTCGAGGAATTCTAGGATCGAAATGGATTCACTCTATTAAGTTGTATTCCCACAAATTTGAACTAAATCCACATGGGACCAGCTCCACCTTCCTATAGAGATACATTGCCCAAAGAGTTCGACGTTTGTCTGAGGCTGCAACGACAGCGACAACGCCAACACTTGATCAATTGGCATAGATCTCTTGAGATTGTAATTCTCTAATGAAATTTACAATTGAAATGCAACGAAACAATGAAGGAACGGGCGAATACATTGTATATTTAGACTGACACACTGAGCAAAAGATAGAAGATAGAAGACAGAAGGCGGACCAATAGTACTACTCATCCACCCCACCCCTGCGGCAGCGTCTATTGTCAGAAGATTACGAAATACTTGTACTCGTACTCGTACTCGTACGTTACGGCTGCTGTGAATCTGTGGCACGCGTAATTCTATATAGAACAGATGGGAGGGACCGACCCAAGATTAGGTAAGAGCTGAATATATTTGTATGTAGATACAGAAAGAGACACAGATTCGCAATAGTTAGCTAATAGTTGCAAAACTGACGTTGAATTTGCATTTCGAAGGCCCTGCGCGGTCGCAGGTGGTCAAGGCGTTCGATTCGTAGCATTTGAAAATTATACTACTGAAAGTACGGATACGTATTAGATGGGAACTACTTACATACATATGTACATAAGTATAAATTTGTTGAATGCCACAGTTGTTGAATGTTTAGTTTTGGCATAAAGAAACAAACTCCCCAATTCTTTCCTCTCGCCATCGATGCGGTTGAGTAAGCGCATAGCCAGATCTTAATGAATCTCCCTAGCACTCCCTCTACTAATACTTGAATTTATGCAAAATTCTAATTTTTATACGCCTCAGCGACTTTCTGACTTCGAACTCGAAATGATATTCCATTTTATGGATTTTTAACTAGAAAAGCATCCCCTTGAGGGCTTCCTGGTTGGCATGTCGTTGATTACCCCGCCAGAGCCATAAAATAATGCATGTTGGGAGTTGGGAGTTTTATGGAGACTTTCGACTTTCTTTTTATTGCTGCGAAGGAGGAGGACAGCTGTCAGCAATTCTACACTGAAGTATACAGGAATTTAATTACACTGGGCATAAAAATTAGGGAACATAAACTGCAGACAACAGGCAGCAGACAACAGGCACAAACAAGCCACAGCAGCAGCAGCAGCAGCAGAACTAATTAACATTCCCTTCCCTCTGCGAGTCCAGAGGAGTTGGCTGGCGATTCTGTGTTGGAGCGTAGGCATCATCTCATCTCAGAACCATCTGAGACCCCACTGATTACACCACTAACTGGCGGTCAGTGATGGAAAGGGAACTGCACCGCTTTGTCACGCTTTGACGGCTCTTCACTCTACTCTCCACTCTACTCTAGAGTAGAATGGAATTTGTTCCAAATATAACTCTCCACTAGTACTCTCTTGTGGTCCCTCCACTTTGGTTTGACTGAAATTTAAGTTGGACCCTTTAACAAGCCTACCCTGTCCCACACTCCGCACCACGCACCCTTCCATTCCCATTGTGTGCTCCTCGTACGCTTCATTTGTTCTGTTCTGTTCCATTCCATGTTATGCTTTATTCTATTGCCGATCGGAAATTGTGTTTTTTTCACCCCCGTTAATTTATGCGTTTTGCTCCCCCGCCTCCACTGACGACAGGAAATGCAATTAGTTTGTGGGGCTGGCTCTCTGCTTTTTTTTCCCGTTATTTTTTTGTTGTATTTGGTTTGTTCCGTTTTGTGGAGTGTCATAAATTGGCGGCGGTTTTGTTTACTCGAATGTCTCGGCTGCTGCTGCTGTGTGTGGCCTCTTTTCCGAGATTTCTTTTGCTTTCTGGGGTGCTCTCCCACTTCAGATGTGAATGTGCTTTGGGTGTCTTAAATAATTTTAATGTCATTTCGGACAAATTCGTTGTAAATTGATGAAACGACTTGCTGATGGATTGAACGCTTGTTGAACATTTTTGGGGAAACATAAAGACCAGATGTTTGGTCGAAAGGAAGCTGGAGCTGTTGATGGAATGGTGTTTAATACATGAAGAGAAATGCAGCTTCCAATGAAGCAGATGGGAAGCCATTTCTGCCATTTCACTTAGAGCTATTTTTCGAGGCTCCAGACAAAATAAACTCACGAATTGCAATCGATTATCTTGGGCTGAGTGTAGTAGTGTCGCGTTTCCTGCAATCCCTTAAGTGCCTGAATACTTCTTCAGTTTTTTTTGTAGTTTTGCAGCTAAAAATACAAATCGCTTTTTACTTGTGTACGTGCCGATTAAAACGATTCGTACCGAACCGAAGATATGCCGGGAATTGGCGCGTGAAAATTGTTTCGTTTGATGAAGAGAAAAAATAGCTAAATAAGATTCAATTGGAAAGCAGTTCAGATACGAAACAGACACTCAGACAGTCAGACAGACAGAGGGGAAGACGGGTTGACGGACAGAAGCAGCGCTAATTAACGAACAGAGCGAAAACAAAGCGAAATATGAACGATTCGAAGATGCATCTCAAACTACTGCAGCGAGGGAAATTTCACTGGGAAAATACAAAGCAAAGCAAAATATACATATAAAACGTGCACCACACATCCCCACATCGATGATATCGATTTCACTGCGAAAATAGGAAAGCAACAGGCCCCACAGCGGAAAAGCTGTGCTGGAAACTGGTTCGCGAGCTTCTGCACTTTTCATTTTCATTGCAATGACAATTCGGCCCCCCCAAACCCCATGCACAACTTTGTTCCCATTTA